ACATCTTTAAAGCCACACATCTTATATGAATTTTCCACTGCCATTCTGCAAACCGAAGAAGCCAGTCTGCCGTATTTCCATCAGCCCTGGATTAGCACAGAAACTCTTTAGGTGAAAAAACTAATTTATACTGAGCTTATTTGGCCTCTCTCCCCTCTAATGCTCTGTTAGAGGTGAGACAGAAGCACGTGCAAAGGTCCCAAAGGAGATTTGGCAGCACAGAGTGCATCCCACAAGCACCTTGCTGTTAGGAACTTGGTGTCACTTCAAAATACTCCCACTTTAACAGCTAAACAAGCACACCAAAATCTGAGGGATTTCTTGGAGCCGTTCACGCACATGCATCCTCCACTGCATAAATTCCCCAAGACGCATTACAGATTCTTTAGTTTTGGCATTTTTTAATGCTTCTTGTTACGCTTCCACACTACAACCACGTGCTGCTAAATCTCACAGAAGGCTCAAAAGCCTTTAAAATTCGTCACAAACTAACAAAATCTAAGCAAAAAACTAAAACAAACAAACAAAAAAACCACAACTACAGAGATGCCTTTTCTGAAGAACAAAACTTCCAGCACTGTAGGGAGAATTTTATTATCAAATACAGGAACCATTTTCAAAATGACAAGTACCTGCCAGCTACCTGATAATCTATCGCTGATCGATGCTGAACAACACCAACACTTTAAAATGACCATTCTTTCTCCTTGGCAAAACTACCCAGAAAACAATTTACAGTAATTCACCCAGTTACTACCATACTTTACCCATAATTCACAGTAATTCACCCATACTCCCAAATGACATGGATTGTGCTAAGCACAGCATGATTTTGGTAATCCTAACTACCACTAACTTCCTACAACTGTCTCTTTATGGGATTTTACAGCTTGCATATATTTAAGACTTTCTCCCTATTTCCCTCGCAGACAAAAATAAAATTTGTCTAATAACCAAAGTGCTGTTTCAAAGAAGACAAAAGAACATAAAAAACAAAAAACTCATTTTTCATCTTGAGAAAGATGCTTAGCTGTTCATTAACGGGCCTGATGTTTTTAAATCCTGGTATCTTCTGATACATCTCAAAGGTTATACAACTATTTTGGCATCCACCCTCTCCCCACAATTGAATATTATGCAGTCTTTACAACAGAGCTATTTGTCTCAGTTTTAAATGTTTCCCACAGATAGGAATTTATCTACAGCATTAAAAAGAAGCATGCTGCACAGAAGGTCAAATGCGTTTTGAACATGTACATAATCTGGTATCACACTGCACCTCGTGATTTATATCACCTTTCTCCAGGCTCTGTTATAAATGAAGCTATCCTTGCCAAACGGTGTAATTATTATAAGGTACAATCCACTTCCCGTTTTAGAGCGCATACTTTGTAGGTTTATCACAACCATCTTCACCCACCCTCTTTGACAACAGTTCATCAGCCACCAAACAGGATTTCTTGCTCATTGTATCTTCTCCAAACAAAAGGACAAAATTTCTTATCGGGTTTAACAAACTTGCTAGCCCAGCTGTCAGTCATTGGCATGTTAAAACACAGGGCTTTTCTTCCTGCCCACATGATAGAATAGGCAGAAGTATCAAAACCACTCAAGTTCAGTGGTATTTTGTTGCAAATACTTTGCTATTGGACTAACTAAGGTGTTGAGCACTAGATGCTGTACTAGGAAAAAACGAACGGCAGCAACGCAGAGGAAAACCACCCATTGACGGCGCAGAAGGAGCCTTCCCAGAAGGGCTCCTTCTGATTTAAGGCACAACGAGGATTTTTAAAGCATCCAACTGGAGGGACTTCACTGGTGTTAAATCAAGGCCCGACGTGGGATTCCGTAACACGATGCCCAAACATGAGGAGACTGAACCCAATGAGACGGGAAATACCTGATGTTGGAAACATTAACAACGTACTTACTGCTACCAGTACCTCTGATAATGAATCCTACAGCCCAGTACATTATCCCTCCCAACACACAATGCAAGAAAATCAGATTAGTCCCCAAAACTCACTACACAGAGCACAAGAGATTAAAATACGCAAACAACCAGTGCTCTCCCACGAGGCACACAAGTGAAAAACAATGCCCGTTAAAGTAGGGTTTAAAGGGCCTTTTAAATCAACATCCCCCCGGCTTGCGGAATAATCCCCGTCGCTCTGGCCCTTAGAGTTTCCAGCTCGTGACGGGTGAACACGGGTGCCAGTGCTCAGAGCTGCGGTGGGACGGAGGACACACAACCGGCTAGTGGCCTTTGGGTGGGCAAGAAGTGCCTTTAATAGCGCAAAATCAGAGACCGCAGCACAGCCCCCATGCGCCAAAAGTCCCCGATTCCTCCCAAAGTGACAGCAGGGCCTGGAAACCGGCTCCCCAGGGAGAGGAGGAGGAGGAGCAGAAACACCAGGATCCATGGCAGCCCCGGGAACTCTCCACGGCCGCAGTGCTGAGGGCACCCGAGGGGCGACAACCCTGCAGGGTCCTCCCCATGGACAGGTAACACCAGAATGAGTAAAAATGCGCAAATAAAAACATAGTAATAATGCAGGAAGAGAAAAACAGAGAAAATAAAAACTGAAAATGAACAGAATGGGTAAATAAAAGAAAAAGGGAAAATAATAAAAGTAAAAAAAAGAAAAAATAAATATATAATACAATTAATAACAAAAATAAGTAATAAACAAAGAATAAGCAAATAAATACACGAAATAACTAACGATAAAAGGAAATG